TTAAAACCCGCTTGTATTCTGTTATTAGTAGTTACGGTTAGTTTTTTTAAATGCCCAGTTTTATTTACCTTTGCAGAACCAGCTTTATCCTTGTCTTATGTCAAAGAACCGTAATGCTAACGCTTGCGAGTGAACAAACTTGAGCGCTTAAAACTTCCTCGGAACTTTAGAAGGCCAGCAAGCTTACTCGAGAAGAAAAGACTACTTCGATCATTTTTCTGTTGCTCAAGTAATAGTAGTCAGAGTTTTTTTTTCCTTTCGTTTTTTCAGTTTTAATTACATAGTTCTGTTATCTTTCTGTCCGCAAATTTTCCTTTCTCTCGCTGTGAAGTAGCCTACTAGCGGAGAACGACAACTGCCGGCAGTGACTCCAAAACAATCAACTCTTTGCCCGTAAACAATTGCTGGAGCTGGATTTGACTGAAGCAAGCAAAACAAATCCTTATGTGCAGTTTTCTGTATTTTCTAATGATTCAGTTTGCTGAGTTTAATTTGCACGCACATTTGCAGTACAACTCAAGGAAATTAGTAAATGTCGTTAAAGTCAGTTTTACTATGATGTATTCTTCGAGAAAATTAAATAATAAGAAGGTTATAACCACAGCTTGCAACTTTTGAAGACAAATTGCCTGTTCTCTCCAGGTTTATGGCCCCACAAACCACTTCTGCGCCAAGTCGACTCGAAAAACTCTGTTTTGAATTTCCCGCTTTTTTTCACCTGACCAGCATTGACGTCACAAGCTGTTTTTTCCGACAATTTTTCCGACCGCTCTACGAAGATAAGGGCCAAAAAACAGCAATTTTTAAATGCGAATATCTCGGAGATACTTGCTTCAATTGAGCTGAAACTTCATAGTATGTTTATTTGGTTCATATTAAAAACATTTCACTAGAATTGAACTAAAATAAAAAATGTCGAATTTTTGGTTCATTTGACCTTTAAGTTAAGGTCGAAACCAACCAATTTAACTTCTAAAAACGCGTGGTAACCCCTAATTTTTATCTTACCAAACGAAAGTAATAAGCCAACTCAGGAAACGATCAATTTTTGGTTCCGGGAAAATATCGTTTACACTATTTTTGAGGCAAACGCGTGGAGAGGGGGAACTGCTGATAACGTCCCAGTTGTGCTGATATTTCAAAAAAAGAGGTATAAAGAGCAGTTGTTATGTTATCATTTGTTGCTTATTTTGAAACCTTGTTACAATTATCATTGCATTTGTGACAGTTCACGTGTACACTCTGAAATTTGGGGGAAAAATAAGTTTTTGTCATTTTTCAAAAAAATGCCCATTCAGCGTTTTTCTCCATATTGAGGCGCAGTTATCTCTGAAAAATGCGTGGTTACCCCCAGTTTCCTTTTGGGATTTCAATAGCCCCTGATATGATCTACTTGTCTCACATAGTCATTATGTGGGAAAAAAACACCCTGCCTTACCCCACGTTTAACAAAAAAGATACTAGTTGTAAAGCCATTGTTCAGTACACAGTTTGACAAGTTCCTATAGAAAGTTCTAATACATTGAAGAAAATATGGTCCAAAACCCATTTTTTCTAAAACCTGATTTAAAAATTCGTGGTTCAGCGAATCGAAAGCCTTTTCAAAATCAATTCAGTAGAATGCCGGGTTGGTTCATTATTTTGCCGATCTCAAGAACGTCATCGATAGTGCGTACTGCGTCTAAAATTGACCGTCCTTTAATGAAACCGTTTTCATTGGCGGGAATAAGTAATGGCATTACTGCTTCTTATCGTCTTCGGATAGCCTTGGACGCAATTTTCACATCCACATTAACGAACAAAATTGCTCTCCAATTTTTAAGAAATCTTCTATCTTTCCCCTTCTTTTCTAACAGTGTAATCAATGCTTGTTTTTGTGAACTAGATAACGCACCATGTTGATGAGGGTAACCAAGGGCCTCTACAAGAGTTTTACTAATAAGATGCCAAAAGCCCCGGTAAAATTCAACCGTTATTCCATCATTACCAGGAGATTTATTTTTCTGGAATGATTTCAATGCTTCGTAGTATTCTTTCACTTTAATTTTTTCATCCAGTGCATCCCGTTGTTCTTCTGTTAATGTTTTTGTGTTAATTCCTGCCAGAAAACTATTTAAAGAAGAGCTATCCTCTTCCGACAAAGGTTTATCATAAAGCGTACAATAAGGATGAATTTCACCCATAATTTCTCTTGGATCATTTGTGTGCTCCTCGTTTGCTTTACATACTTTTCTAATGGAACTCTTTTTCTTCCTTGAAGACTCTAAATTGAAAAAAATATTTGTTACTCTTTTCCCTAGCGTACTCCTGAATATTCCTTTCCAGAGTTGACATTTTCTCCCTCCTTTCTTTAGCTACCTATTTACTATAGGTTATAGTTTCGTTGCGGATTTTATATTTTACGAAGTCCCAAAGGACCCGTGGATCTTGGATTTCCACACCTTCTTTTAGCCATTTGTCATATTTTTCTTTTATAAGCTCTCATCCTCTAATAAACTAGAATTAAACTTCCAATATGATGGACCCTTTGCAGTCTCATCAATTCCATTTACATTCAATGTGATAGCCGAATGGTCAGTCCTAATTGCAGGAACAGTGTCGACATTTTCAATTTCTTCTCGTAGATTACTAGATGTCAGCCAAGAATCTAGTCTCCGCTGCATTAGCCTGTGTACAGCCGCCCCTCCCCTCAAAACACAGGCTACGCTGTATCAGTGGCTTATTTTGCTTCCATGTAGAAGGTTTGGATTCTGGATTTCTGATTCTCCAAATATCAGTTTGGTCAAATGATGAACAGAGATTTTTGGCTTACCTCGAGATCCATCCCTGTCGCAATCCAGTATAACATTGAAATCACCTCCAATAATTATTTCACCACTTGTGAATATTTCAAATTCATCTCGCCTCATCTGAGTTTCTTCGGAAAAAGTGCACTGGTCGTTTGCTCTATTTGGTGCATAGATGTTAATAAGGACAAATAACTGGTCTTGCATCTGACCTCTTAAAATAATAAATCTCCCATTGCTATCTGTATGACACACCTTCAAGTAATATATCAAACAGGAGATGCAGTGTTTCATCACCAGATGAAACACCGAGAAGAGAGTTGAAAATACGACGCGCAGCGGAGTATTTTTGACGAACTTCGAGGTGTTTAATCTGGTGATGAAACACTGTGTCGAATGTTTGATATTTCTTCTCAAACCAAGTCATTTTTGAAGGAGAAATTAAGGATGCAAATACTAAGGAGTGTTTCATCCGATTTCCAAACACCCCTTTAACATTAATTTCCTTTGTATTTTCTTAATGAATTATTAATGAGTTTGAGAATTCACAATCAAAATTCTCCTTACAAGTATCATGACGCTTCTACTATGCTCGGATCCGTGGCTAAAAACAACGTCTCCTCTCCATTGTGATTTCCATACTAATTCAACTTCCAGGGTTCGTACTCTTTTGAGCTCTCCAAATTCCACGACTTTCCATCACTATTTCCATGACTTTTTCAAGTTTTCCATGACCTTAGGTTAAGCTGTCGCTTTCGAAAATTTTTAAAACTTTCCTTGTTTCGCATATTTTTTGCCTAAAGCAGTTCAACAGATACAAACACTGGTGTCCTCACTCCACCAAAATGTGTGCCGTTTGCGCTGTTTGATTTCTTGTCTTGATCTTACGTTATCCAGCCTTGCTTTGTCATCTGCAGTAACGTATCTATTATACAAATCTTTAATTTTACACGACTTTCCAGGACCGACAATTAAATTCCATGACTTTCCAGGCCTGGAAAATGAAATTCTTAAACTCCATGACTTCCCAGGTTTTAAATGACCTGTACGAACCCTGTCTTCCGAAGTGCTCTACGTTTCCTGGAGAAATATGACTAACTAATTAAAAATGGCTTTTCCATTTCCAATAGATCGAATCCCTCGAACATTCAAAGCTAATAATTTAAAATTTAAATTAAGTTTTTTTGTCACATATTTCAATTTCTGAATTAAACAACGGAAGAAGACAAATTTAGACATACAAGAAACCTACATGTTTCTCTATTTGTAAAGGGTCGACCCCAAAAAATAAACAATACGAAGATAACACGAAACACAACGACGAAAAATAACAATAGCCACAAAAAACTAACACAATACTTAAAAATAAAATAGCGACCAGCCAAAGCTGTTAATTGTGCCACCTTTGAATGGTACCTTGCAATCTTTGATCTTAATTATTAGCATTCTGGTTTTTGCTCCACAGTTCTTCGCAAAAATAAAATAACTCTACAACTTTGAATAGTTAGAGAGTATATGCGGCCTAAATGACTTTTCAAATGTTCTTACTTCTCAACACCGTCAATAAACAATTTATCCGGATCCGCCTCATTAAAATAGGCGGTCTTACCGTCCTTTTTCGCTTGTTTAAATTGCTTCATCTTCTTTCTTCTTTCCAAAATTTCACTTGGAAGGTCCGGTGAAATTCCAAAGTTTTTCCTTTTAACTTTCCAGCATTAAACATAACTTCTTCACGTTTAGCGTGTTTCAAAAAACGTGCGATTATTTGTTACCCTTTGGAATTCGATTTGGTCTGCATTTTCCATACCAAGCTCTGTTTTAAGGAATCCAACCAAAACCTCTCTCACGTCCTCCTCCGTATCGGCTTCTTCTTTAGTTCCGAAAAAACGAAAATTTTCCCGCCGTTGGTATACTTCCATGTATAGTTTCTCGTCCCTGAGGTGATTAATTTCGCATTTGAGCTTGTCAAATTTCACCTTGAAAGACTCGCGTTCCGTATTCGCAAAATCCAATCCGTCTTAAAGCTCTTTGATCTTTTTTTCTGTCTTATTCCTGAAAGACTCGAAACAATCCCCCTTTGTCTTGAATTATCGTGATGCTCTTAAATAAACTGATCTCTTGGAGTCCGTTAACCTAATCCAACATGTTAAGAGCCCTACTCATCGACATGGACACACCCTTGACTTAATCATAACTAGGAAGGAAGAAAACATGATGGCTGATGTCCAAGTACTTGCTGATGTTTACTCTGACCACAGAGTAATATACTGCAAAATCAACCACGCTAAGCCACCTCCTGCAAAGATCTTAAAGACATGTAGACCAACAAAGAGCTTGGATGCCATTTATGCGATATTGCTGATGCATTCTCACAGATCCACCTCTCTACATCTACGCAATCATTACATGACCTTGTTTTCCTATATAATGATGTTCTTAAAGATATCTTCGATACCCTTGCACCGATTCAAACACGATGGATTAGACACCGTCCACAAGCACCGTGGTATGATGACAATCTACGACAAGTGAAACGAGACAAACGCAAGCTGGAGCGTAAATTCAGGAAGTCTGGTCTTAGAGTCGACAAACAGCAATTTGAATTAAAATGCTCTGAATATAACTCTCTACTCGAAACTTCCAAACGTAACTTTTTTAAGAGTAGAATAGAACAGGCAGACCGCGATCAGCTTTTCAAACTTGTTGATGGCCTATTCTCAGTAAACACCACTGTGCTACCTCCTTATGATTCTCTTGAACAACTTGCTGGAGACTTCAATGCTTTCGTCATTGGCAAAATACGAGGCCTGCGAATGGAATTAATGAATCCTTATTTTGGTCGTATTCGAAAGTAGGTACCTTCCTTCCGATGGATTGAAAATGTTGGTGAACTCTCTTGTGATTTCCAAACTCGGCTATTGCAGTAGTCTCTTATATGACATCCCAAAATACCAGAGAGCAGAGAGATAAGTTACAAAGAATTCAGAATACCGCACCTCGAATGATAACAGGAGCCTGCAGTTCTGACCACATAACACCTATAATAAGGAGCCTGCACTGCCTACCTGTGGAAGCAAGGATTAACGTTAAGATTCTTCTTATCACATATAAAAACTTAAATCAGCTGCTGGATATCTGGAACCCCTGATTAAGGAATATCATCCATCAACAGCACTACGATCGTCATCCCGTTCGCTATTATGCACCCCAGCCAAAAAATCCAAAACATGTCGAGGACGCACGTTTTCCACTGCAGCACCTCAGTTATGGAACACTATCCCAGAATACGTCAAAAATGCTGACAGTGTTGCTACATTTAAAACAAAACTTAAAAAATTTTTATTCAGGAAATATTTCGATTGATTTTTCTGTTCACATTTTTTGTTTTTGTTTTAGCATTTTAAGGTTTACAATACTCGATGTATAATATGTCACACAGGGTAGAGATTTTCCTATTTTTCTTTTTTTCTTATCATAATGTAAAGTGCATTGGGGCCGAAATGCGCTCAATAAGAACCTATATTATTATTATTATTATTATTATTATTATTATTATTATTATTTTGCTCTCACTCTTGAGCATGCTAATTTATGGCCATGAGCTCAAATGAATAAATCCAAGGTGAAACTACGCAGCTATTAAACACAGGCAGTGCATTTAAGATGGACAACACCACAAGTTCTCTGTCCGAATTACTCTGATTCCCAGAAAAAGACTTTTGGGTGCTCTACATTATTGAAAATGCAGTCATGTATTGGTGTAACCAGAATGAGGGACGTGTTATCAGTTTCAAATGGAATGAAGTCTGTTTCAACCATGCGTGTGACATAATATCGTTTCACTCACTTGAATGTCATGGAATTGATTCAGGCAATAAAGTATGTTGCAGTTGTATTTACAATCTGTCTGCATGATATGACTGAAAAAAAATAATTTCATTCTCTAGAGTCGTCAAGGAAATCACCAACATCCACAGAGACAGAATTAAGGCTTTGCATGTTTAAAAAAGAGCCCTGTTTTGGTGAAAAAAGAGGCAGTCTGTTAAGCTGACCTATTTCATATGCTTTGCCACAAATTTCAATGCGATACTGTTGAAACAGCTTACAAAGGGGATTCATCAAAAGTAGGTTTCTTTGCTCTCCTTTTGCAAGCACACAACGATTTCTTTTGCAATGATACCAATAATTGAATTTGACACCTGCGATGGATGCGAGTTGCATGAAATTTGTTTATCTGAGAGCATTATCTTTGCTCTTATGTCTTGAAAATGCTTTAACCTGGAGAACCTTAATCTGATTATTAAATAATTTGCTTATTTACCGGATAGGTCTGTCGTTCATTACAAAGTGTTTCAGACCACTCTAAAATAATAACAACAATATAGCATAGAAAAAATAGCAATAACAATCATCAAATATACACGGAATAATAAAATGTCAATAGATGTTAAAAATAATTATTGCGATAACTGAATTCACACAAGTTAAATGAAAGAATTCCATCAGGGCCCATAACATGGACCCTTAGAGCTATTCCACCGACTGTATGTGTTTCAGTAAAAAAGAGAAGAGAAGCCGAATAACATATTCCTTGACAAGAAATTAAACATAGAAAGATAATTACACTGGAAAATAGTTCAAAGAAAGCAGTAGAGGACAAAGTTTTTTCTCTTTTACTGTGATCAATGAAAAACTCCGAATAAAACTATCTAGCAAAAGAACAAAATAGACAAAAAAAACAAAAATTAGATGATGCAGCCACCTCAAATGTTAGAGGAAGCCGCCATGTTTCATGTTGTCACATGAAAATTGTTGCTGATATACACATGACAATCATAGTTGCTAAAACGTGGAACAACCTAAAACCACCTACAAAAACTTCAACATTCACCTACAACCACCTCAAAAACATCTACAACCACTTGCAAACAATCTAAAACAATCTAAAACAAGGCATAAATGTCTAAAATAAGGTGTGACAACAAGATATCACGTACATGAAATAAGAGAATCGAGCAAAACCTCCCCCTTCCCCTAAAATCTTACTCTTCATGGTCCCTTGTATAATCAACCATGGGCTTAAGTCACGAAATGAAATGTGAGATCATGCTAATTATATTTGAGATTCCCTCAGTAGTAAAAGACTTAAAGAACTTTACAAAATGAACTTTCAAGTTACAAAACCTAATAAAATAAAATACCAACAATGATAACTTTTTTATCCAAAACTCATAGTAAACTTTACAAAATAAACTTTCAAGTTGCAAAACATAATAAAATAAAATAACAACTATAATAACTTTAACTTTTTTATCCAAACTCGTAGTCAAAAGACTGACTTGACATGGCTTTTTCTACCCTGGGTACCAGCAGACATTTTGGCTCATGTTTCATTTGTTGACGTAATGGCCCAAGGTAGGGTTTTTTTTTTCTCTCTCAGAGTCTGCTACGCTGTCGTTTTGTTCTGAGGTGGCAGATTACATTCCTATGCCCAGAGTGAAATACTGGAAATTTGAATAAATTTATTCGCATGGCAATAAGTATGAGTATTTATGGACCCACAATACTCGTCACATATTGTTGAAACGGGAGCCATTTGTCTTGAATTTTCTCCAAATTTCTTACAGTCACTCCTGACACCTTCGTTCTCACTCAAATGTGCCCCTCTCCCTCTCCAATGTTGAGCCACGCATATGTTGGAGCACTGAGACGACTGTAATATCCAAATCAACATTGGGGAAGGAGAAAATCACATAAGTGTTTCAAGATTTGTGACGAGTATTGTCTTTGCGTTGGGAGGGCGTGGACGCGTAACAAAACGTACGAAGGGCAACTATTTCCACCTTTAGTGTTAACAATGTCATGATGAGTATTCTTGCTGTTACTGTTCTAGATGTTAAGTCGGACTAATAATTATATTATATAGCTTGTATGCATACTTTTGATTATGAATGATTTCAACGTACATTTCTCCAAACGACTTCAGTGAAAAGGCACTTCCTAAAAGTACATCGGGATTGGACAAGGGGTGCATATTTCAAGACTGAAGGGGAAGAAATTAATTAACATATGGCAATGGAGACGATGTTTGGTGATTTTTACATAGCAGAAAGAATTCTTTTGAGCCATTTTATCACTTGAAACTGATTTGGTATTTATGGTGACATGCTTTTCCTGCGAGCTTCTGGGAGAGAATGGTAGAGAATATCACTAATAATTAGTCCTTATCTCAAATAACTACACAGAGGTGTCAGATGAAAATGGAACCCTTTCCTTCTTTTTCTATGAACTTAAGGGTTCTATGTACAAAAATGAGCTAACTATGTAGAGAAATACATTATTAAACGAGATCATTCGTTTTCATGAGCTATCTATCTTTTAAGCGCAAAATCTCAATGATTCACCACCGTGTCCTACCGTAAAGTAATTATAGTACCATAGACTTTATGAACTATCAGTTCACCATGGTGAACTGCTTCAATTTCTTCTTCAATTTCCCGAACACCATGGTGAATTGTGTTACACTCAATTAAGCCGCAGCAAATAATGTCAACAAATTCAGCAATATTTGCATAAGATCCTACTAATTTAATTAGTCCTCTTGCAGGAAAATATGACGACAAAGACATTTTCTACAAGGAGAAACGGGTTTTAGCCCTTCCTCGGCTATCTGATTGAAGAGATTGAATACCCGCCACCCTACATTCATCTTCGGATTCTCCCTCTCACCGCCAACTCCTTCTCACACAAAACCAACTTCATCTTTACTTGTACAAAATATCGGCATATCTCCCTGGTCAGTATAAAATATCATGTCGGCTGTGTTTTTTCACTTTCCCAGTCAAGGAGCACTAAGAACTCATGCCATGGAATGATCTGCGTGGACAACCAAAAATGGTTTTAAAACACTACTTCAGATTGTCTGAATTGTACACTCTATATATGACATATGTATTTTAAATTCCTTACTTACATCTGTCATTCTGTCATACACGAAAAATGATTCAACATACTGTTTTTCTTTTTAATTTTACTTCATGTACAGGAAAAAAAAACATGTATCTTCCAGCAACGGTCTCTCTCCTCCGACTAAATACAATACTCGTCACAAATCGTTGAAACAGAAGCCATTTGTCTTGAATTTTCTCCAAATTTTCAAACATTCACTCCTGACACCTTCGTTCTCACTCAAATGTGCCCCTCTCCTTCCCCAATGTTGAGCCACGCGAATTTTGGAGCACTGAGATGACTGTAATACCAAATCAACATTGGGGAAGAAGAAAATCACACAAGTGTTTCAAGATTTGTGACGAGTATTGCAGGTAACCACCTCAAACAAAAGTTAATTTTTTTAGCATCTGTTTATCATCCACCAAACAATTTTTTTTTTTCGTGACTCAAGCCCATGGTTGATAAAACAAGGGACCATGGAGACTAAGATTTTAGGGATAGGTGGACGTTTTGTTCGATTCTCGTATTAATTTTCATGTACGTGAAATGTTGTCGTGACATGTAGTCTCGCCTTATTTTAGACATTTATACCTTGTGTTAGATGGTTTTAGATTGTTTGCGAGTGGTTGTAGATGTTTCTCAGGTGGTTGTAGGTGAATGTTGAATTTTTTGGGGTAATTGTAGGTGGTTGTAGGTGGTTTAACGTTCCATGTCTTAGTAACCACGACATGAAAATGCCACCGTTGCACAAATATAGCACCTAATATGTAAAATGCTGACTCACCAGCTTGGCAGGCTTGTCTGAAAGAGTGTCTTACTTTCAGGGACAGAAAACAACTCCGATTTATACAACACGACACCACTGAAAGCATTATGTGTCAATAGCCAGTCGCAATGAACCTGCCAGACCGCTTGTCAGCGGGGGCATAGTGGTGGTGGTGTATGCGACCTTGAAAGATGACCCTATTTTGGCATTTTTTGAAAGGCTGTAGCGCTTTTCAGGCGGTATGAAAGCAGTGAAGGTGCAATACAAACTGGGGGAAATGTAGAGAGGAAAGTGAATTTCGCGCCTGGAGCGTTTTAGAGAGGTGAGGTTAAGTGGGAGTTTGAAAAGATGGGTGGAAAACGGCGTTGTTATTTTCAAGATGGTGGCTGGTATGGATAACCCGGCGCTAACGCACCGGGGGGACCAATTTGGGCTCATCAGGGCTTATTCTATTCTACGAAACGAAATTTATGAGGGAGAGAGAAAAATGCTTATTATCTTAAACACAGTTTAAGACAACATTTACAATGTGTTTGGAAGTAATAGTTAACGAATAATGACGGATTTTTACCTGTTTCGCAATTTCACTAGAATTACTATTTTGCGAAAAGGCGTTTTTTCACATTCATTTAGGAAATATGTCCTTTTTCGTCGGAAACAAATGGTGTCCACCAATAAAATGATTAATATGTCGAAGAGTCAGGGCACCTCTCACTTATCGACTGTCAGTAGAACTCATTTCGCAAAGTAGTAATTTTGCCAAAATTACTATTTTGCCTTTTTCGTCGGAAACAAATTGTGTCCTCCAATAAAATGATCAATACAGTGAAACCTCTATTAAGCGGACACCTTTGTGACCTTCCTAAGTGTCCGTTTAATAGAGGGTGTCCGCTTGATAGAGGTTGTAAAAATTGCGTAATATTTGTTAACGATCAACATTCACCGGTTACTCTGTACTGTGATAAAGTTGCGTGTTGTTAAAGAAGCTATCTAGAGTTCAATTTCATTACCTTTTATTACCAACTTTAATTTGTTTGTAAATGCAAAAACATTAACTAACTTCAGTTCTTATTTCAAGGACGCCAATACTACTATTGTCAATTCAGTCCGGTGTCCGCTAAATAGAGGTTTTTAACAACAGAAATTAGCCAAATACAACTTATTTTGGTGTCCGCGTCGGCTTGATAGAGGTCTCCGCTGAATAAGGGTTCGTTATAAAGGGAAACATCAGACGTTCGTTTCGGGACCCAGCTTAGTGTCTGCTTAATAGAGGGTGTCCGCTTAATTGGGGGTCCGCTTAATAGAGGTTTCACTGTATTTCGAAGAGTCTGGCTGTCTGGGCACCTCTCACTTTACAGACCGTACCATAACTCATTTCGCAAAGTAGTAATTTTGCCAGAATTACTATTTTCCGCGCTACAAAACCTATAGGAGACCGCCTTTCGCATTGTTGAAATTTATTTGAACAAAACTTTAATAGAGAAACGAATGAATACAGGACAAATGTTGTGGATCAGACATGCAAAGAAAGTTCACCACCATGATCAGCAAGCAGTCAGGGGTGTAGGCAGCTTTTCAACTAGGTGTAGGCCTGGCTGACTTTTCCATCCTATCCTTCCACATAAAATTGCACGCATTACTACTACGCATTAACCTCACCAACAGACTTAAGCTTTTTAACTCACTCCAACAACACATAATCTATTACAAGCGGCAGAGTGATCAAACAAAAAATTTATAGGCCTGGATGGGGGGGGAGCGGGGGGGGGCCTACAGGTCTCAGTATGGGCTGGCTACGCCCCTGGTAGTTTCGCTGCGAATGAGACTTCAGAGGAATGGTAACTGAAACTGATGCGCACTAACATCAAGATGTTCCAGATGGACGCTCGCAACTGGTTTTTCTATCGTTCATAGGCACCACCATACGATTTGCAATCAGACAAGTTGAAATCTTACTCTGCCTTTTAGTTGAGTTCGCCTTGTGCATTATACTCTTCTAATCTAAACTTCAGCATTCCATACCGGAGGTCCTTGTGATTATCTTTCAAGCGCCCCTGGACATTGGTAGAGATAGTTACCAAACCTCTCCAGAAGTACGGGTGCCTTGGAAGAATACACTCTTTATATGCACAGTAAAACCTCTTGGTCTTCTTTTTATGAGTTGGCACCATCTCAACATTGCCTTGATCATCCTTTTTTGGGTAGCAGTAACGCTCCTCGTGAAGTAGGGCAATGTCGTAGGGCGTTATCTGTATTCGCTTAGGGAACTCATTTGTGCAACCGATCCATTTTGTTGCGTTCGCGTAGTCGTGAATGAATACTACATAGAAGGGTTCACCATTTTCGGTAAAGGGGAGCCTCCACGTATAAAAAGTTGTCGCCGAGTACCTCCCTCCGGGCAGGTGTTCTGACTAATAAAAATTGCAGAAAACGGATTATGCCATTATCTTAGCAGCGGGATAGCCTTCATTCAAACGTTGGTTCGAATTTATTTGACTCTACATCTCGTTTGAAAATGATGTGTTGCCTGCAAGGCGTGGGCAGTCGTAGAATTGAATTCAGTAGATTTAGTTTTATGCATGGTTCAATTTGACCTGTTACCATGACCTCCGGACATACCCCGGGGGATTTGCATTTTTTTTTTCTTTCCCGATTGTCTTCTTTCCAACCACCGAGCTCCTTATCGACCGGATATTGGTTACATCTTTTTTAGAGCAATAATGATTTCCGCACGATACAAAACAAGATGTCTGAGAGAACTTTTATAAATGTTTTCCTATAGTTCATTGAGGGAAGGATAAAACGAGAACAAAACATCTGAAATGACAAAAAAGGAAGGAAAAAAAAACACTCTCAAGCGCCTCTTTGACTGAGAACACTGAACGGAATATATATATATATAAAATATTACTGTAAAAGCCTTGTATCAGTTTTCAAAGTCAGTCTATGTAAGTTGTCTTATTGTTAAAATAGGCAGAAGAAATATTTCTTTTGTTTCTTTTGCAATAACCAAAAAAAAGAAATAAAGGAATCTATTTGAGTACGCACCATACACACATTCGTTTAAAATTTTAAAGCATACCTTCCAAAACAGATTTTAATTTCGATAGGTTATTCCTCTACGACAAATTCCTGCATTTTCCCTTAAAAATACGCAGTCTTCGGGAATTGATGTTTACGCATTGAGCGCATTAGATCATAGTTAAATGCTATTTTGCGCCTTACAAATAATAAATTATTATTACTATTATTATTATTATTATTATTAAACACATATTTTAATGACACAAAAACAACTTCACTGCTAACCAAAAGTGACTGAATAATCCATTTCGCAAAATAGTAATTCTGGCAAAATTACTACTTTGCGAAATGAGTTCTAGTACGGTCTATAAAATGAGAGGTGCCCAGACTCTTCGAAATATTAATCATTTTATTGGTGAACACGTTTTGTTTTCGACGAAAGAGGATATATTTGTTAAATGAAGGTGAAAAAACGCCATTTCGCAAAATAGTAATTCTGGCAAAGTTACTACTTTGCGAAATAAGTTCTAGTACGGTCAATAGAATGAGAAGTGTCCAGATTCTTCGAAACAATAATCATTTTATTGGTGGACACAATTTCTTTCAGACGAAAAGGACATATTTGCTAAATAAAGGTGAATGAACGCCATTTCGCAAACTGAAAGTAATTCTAGTGAAATTACTACTTTGCGAAACAGGTAAAAATCCGTCATTATTCGTTAACTATTACTTCCAAACACTTGTAAATTTTGTCTTGAACTGTGTTTAGGATAATGAGCATTTTTTTCTCCCTCCCCGATACGTTTTGTTACGTTTCGCAGAATAGAATAAACCACCAATTTGTGAAAGGCGGTCGTTAATGTTTTAAAATCTTCATGTTCTGTCGGTAACAAAGTTTTATTGAGTTTTCAATATAGGTTAAAACAAAGTTGAAGCCAAGCGCTTGAAAAACAAAACCTAAAAAAAGCTTGGCCTTTGAATACGCGCTTTTGGTCAGTCACTTGCCGTTTTTTGGGGGCCGGGGAGGGGGGGAGGGTGGGAATGGGGTGAGTGTTGGAGGGGGTAGCATGCGAGTCGAAGTGACCCTGTTCCTGGCGTTCTGTTGACTGAAAAGTTGTGAAAAGGGCATGTTGATACAAATAAATGAAAAGTGTTTAGAGTGTCTCCTCGCTTTAATCGCGTTCGTCAGAATACATCCTAATCTGGCGTTCCTGTGGCACTAAGGCAGACCTTTTTGAGCTATCACGAGCGACAGAAATTAGCCGCTCCTATTAATTTAATAAGGGCACATCGGCCGGGAAACTGGACCCCTTTGGACTCGATTTCGTTTCCGTAATTTTTCCGTAAGTGACGAACGCGGATCCGTAATCAACGATCACGTCTAGTATCTTAACAAAATGCTCTATTAGATCAAGGGGAATCTGTGTGGTTTGGTAATTTATCAATGGACCAGTGACCTGTACTCTTGACCTGTGGAATGTGGCCTGTGCTTTAGACCCGGTCCTTACGCCGATAGTTTAGTAGTGATCAGCTGTTTTTGGCCAAAAAAACAAGAACGAAACAAAACTCTCAGATTTGCATCACCATGCACGCGATCTTAGGTCATTTTCGATCATACCGTCAACCAACAAAAACAGCAACATCTTAAATTCCAATACTTGGCATTAGCGTACTGAATCTTGCAGTCAACGCGACTAAATGAATAACAAAGAAAAAATTGTTTTTGTAGGAAACAATGCAATGCTAAGTGGGCCTACGGTTTAGCAAGAGTGGCAATTAGCTCATTCGTATCTTATCACCAGAGTTCTTTAAAAACCATGGCAGTCGGAATTCAGTAACTCTGTATCACTAGTACATAGCATAGGATTCTGGTCATGCGGTATGAATGATTGCCTCCCTCGATTCAACAAAGTTACATCGATCTGACCCCTAGCTTCTGTTAAAAAGGGAGACTCCCATCAGAGCGATGTTTGTTCGTAGTTTTGCAAGATAGAGCGGACAGCTTTTGATTGACAAAAAACTGATGCAGCGGCCTAAAAGTGACAGTCAATATGTTCCCCCGCTGCTTTCCTCTTTCTGATTCTTGGAGTGGGAGTCTTGCAACGGGGGATTGTAAGTCCTTTGTCGAATGTCCGTTGTGACTTTTTCGCCTTTTTAAATTGAATAAAGATATTGTTTACTCTAATTACAAAAAGACTACTTAAAAACAAACTAATAACAAAATTCTAAACAACCGTAATAACAGAAGAAGAGAAAAAGGAAAAGTATTACATATTTACAATTATCTACATTTCACAATTATACACGTTACAGCCAACAAACAGCCGCGCAACTGCTGAATGTGGCTTATTTTACAAATAGTTGATTAGTACTTAATTAGGTAGATAAAAGAGAAATTAACACTTATTTACAGTACACTCTGAAATAAAACAAAAACAAAACAAAAACAAAAAATACAGAAAAAAGAGTATCTAATAGAAGATTACAATTTTTAATTACACACTAACTTAATGAAAGGGGAGAGATAGCTAGAGATGTCTTTTGGCCATTTTTCATAAAAGGTTTCCAATTTATTATTCTTAGTGGAAATATATTTTTCAACTTGGTATTTAATTCTTACGTTGAATTTGGAACCTTCGTTGTTTGGAAGTGCCTGGTTCTTTCTACAATCCCATAAATATAGTTCACCAGTTAATATCAGATAATTTAACAAGGGGCATTTTGCCATCGTTATTCCAATTATAACCTCCCGTAAACACAACGCGTGAAATTCCTTTGCTATTGTTAAATAATACTGCTCAACATTTTTCCACAACATTTTTCAGTGCCGACAGTAAAAGAGAAAGAGACATAATGTATCCTGTTCAGTCTTGCAAAAAGTACCTTTGTCATGCTGGAGATATCCAATTTTAAAAAGTTTTGCATTAGTGTAAAATATTGAATTTAAAACTTTATATTGAAAGGATTTGACGTAAGACTCCTGTGCTGTAAGGTGGAGAAGGTTGTAAGCAATTTCTTTACCAGATAAGTCGAAATCATGTTTTAAATTCTTTGCATTACTAGGTAATTGTACTTCATTTGATATTATTAAAGAGTAGTAGTCTTTCGTTTTCTTTTCCGCTATGTCAAAAATCTCATTCCCCTTTGTAAAATAAGTATTTTCTGTCAAGGTATTGTACTCTATTGTTTTCAGAATAGAAGGAGCTGCGTGCCTGAAACCTGTCCATGTAAGAAAATTGGCTTTCTCAACTATGTTATTAAATACATTAAAGGATTCTATATTGTCGAGATTAAACAAGAGATCGTTAATGATTCATATCCCGGAGTCATAATAAGATTTATAAAAGACTGGTTTTCCATCTTTTCTTATATCTTTGTTATTCCAGATTATACAAAGCCGTTCTTTGTCAGCTAAAAAGAGATTTCGAAATTCTAACCACCATTCTAAGAGTTCTTCGTAGAAAACTGAGTTAATTCAAAGATCGTTTATTGCGTAATTGCATTTAAAAATTATAAGACCACAAACATTACTGTAGGAGATGTAACAAGTAGAATTTCCACGTACTTTCGCTATCGCAGAAAATAGGTTCTAGCCAAGCTAGTCGTACAGCTTTGACCAAGCTTTCAATATCTGTCATTTATTTGCCACCGTCCTAATAACTGTTTATTGAAGAGAGCCTCGTTACTTTATCCTTTCCATTCCATAAAAAGGAGAAAATCATACTATTTACTTGTTTGATGATTTTACTCGGAGGTGAAAGAACCGAACTAGGTATAAAAACTAGTTTGCAATAAGTAATGATTTGATCATAGTTTCTTTACCTTAAATGGACAGTCCTCGAGATGACCATATATTTGTCAGCTTCTTCATGCTGTCAACCTTCTCTTGAAAGTTTTTTTCGTAAAGCAATGCTTGGTCATATGTAAAAAAGGTTCCTAAAGCTTTTATGGGTTCACTAGGCCATTTAATTCCAAACGGTTTTTGGTGTTTTCTTTTAAGCGAACCAATCCACATTTCTTCTGTTTTAGAGCTATTTATCTCCAACCCACTGAAGTTCTTAAAAACTTCTAGTCCGTCAAATAACGTTTCTGCTGAATTTTCATCAGAAGCTATCAGACAGGATTGCTGTGGTATCGTCTGCGTATTACAATAGTTTGGCTTCGTGATTTCCTATTTTAATTCCTTTAATATCAACATTGTGGCGAATGGAGATTGCCAGGCTTTCAACAGCTAAGATAAAGAGGTTGGGGGTTAAGGGATCACCCTGCCTCACACCACGTTCTAAAGTAAAATAGTCTGATGTCATTCCAGTATTTATTGCACTGCTTTGAATATTTGTATAAAACATTTTGACCCAATTTATAAAATTAAGGGTCAAAATTGAAAGGCTCGAGGCAACTGAAAAGATAATGCCCTTCTAAAGAGTCGAAAGCCTTATTAAAGTCAATGAACATCAAGATACCTGGAATATTCTTTAAGTCTGTAAATACCATTATATCGAAAATTGATCGGATAGTCTCACAAATATAGCGATCTTCAACATAACCTGTTTGATTATGATGAATGACATTCGGTAGAACTTTCTTTAATCTTAAAGCAATCACTTTTTCACTTTTGAAATGATTTTTGCATCCACGTTCATAAAAGAGATTGGCCTCCACTTTTCAATGAGAGTTAGATCTTTATGTTGCTTTTCTATAAGAGTTATGATTGCTTTTCTTTGAGAGCTAGACATTTCTCCGTGGTTGAAACACTCCCTCACACACTCCATAAATGGATCACTAATTAATTCCCAGCAACTTTTGTAGACCAAATTCAATTGGTATTCCATCATTAATAATAATATTTATTTCTTATGAGGCGCAAATGATCAAATGCGCCTTACAACTATAACTACCTGTAATAATTACAATAAAGTATACTTAAGAATACCTAAAATTTATAATCTAAAATTTATCTAAGGCAAAAGCCTTCCTAAATAAGTAAGTCTTTATTGTTCGTTTAAACACCAAAAAGTTATCGATGTCTCTGACACTTGCAGGCAGACTGTTCCACGGTGCAGGGGCAGCTATTTGGAATGATCTGTCACCCAGAGTTTTCTTTGTTTTTCCCATGGGCAACTGCAATAGTAGTTCTTCAGAAGAACGAAGCTGGTATTTACATTTCTCCTTTAATCGAACTAGATTGCAGATATAGGACGGCGCAAGTTGATATATTGCTTTAAACGTTACCAGGAGATTTGTTACTCTCAAAACTGTTAAGAATGGCTGTAATTTCTTCAACAGATATTTCTCCTTCACAAGATTGTTTTTTTTCTTCTGATAATCTTTGTACATTAAAATTATTTAAAAATTCGTTTCCATTTTCCCTATCCTCATCTGTAACGGTTGATTTGTACAAGCTATGGTAAAAGCGTTTTTGTTCGTTCAGTATCCCAAAAGCATCAGATGTAATCGAACGACTTATTACCAGTTTTCTTATATGTTTTTTGACGTGATTATGCTTTTCTAAGGTTTGAAAATATTTTTTACTTCTCTCGCCATGGTCATGCCATCATGCCCTTGCGCGAATAATTACACCCCTTGTTTTTTCCTCATAGTAATTTTCTAGAATTTCTTTGGCTTCATTTAGAGTATTTAGGTTAGAGTCAGAAGGGTCCTGTTCGCATTTTTTAGTTGCTTCCTCGTATACTTGTTGTAAGATTCGAGAATAAAATAGCGTGGTTCCGAATATTATACTTAAGCCAATCCCAGATGCACCTTTTTTCTGACAAATTACCACTTCCTGTTGTTTTCCAAAGTGAAATAGTTAGTTTAATTCTTCCAGATTATTTGGATCTTCGAGAAAGGAGACGTTCATTTTCCAGAAGCCGGACCCTTTTGAGTTTTGATTGGAGTCGATTAGATTCAACTCAATTGCTGCATGATCAGTTTTTATAGCTGGAATGATATCGGTTGTTTTTACAAATCCTGCAAGTTGTTTTATATCAGCCAGTAATCTAAACGACAGAAAATTAATTGGTGGAGATTTTTGGCTCCAAGTGTAACTTCTAGATTGTGGATTTTTAATTCTCCAGACGTCGACAAGGTCCAATTCATTTTGTAAACATTCAATATTATCTATAACCATTTTCCAAGGTATCTTAACGCCACCTTTCTTATCCAGCTTAGGGTCAAGAGGACAGTTAAAGTCCCCACCAATGATTATATTTTCTTCACAATCTAAGACTTCAGTCTGTAGCACTCTATGCAGGTTTTTATAAAATTTGCCGCTGACTTTGTCTTTGTTTGGCGCATAAATATTAACTAAAATGTACACTTTATCCTGAATGCCTGCCTTCCAAATAATAAATCTTCCCTGAGGATCAAAAATGGATTTTTGGATTACACAATTACAATTATCCCTAATCAATATCGCAACCCCACATGAATTTGGACTACCATGTGAGAAAAACGTTTTACCACAGCATTCATTTGCAGGCAGGTACAAAAGTCGGACCGGATCAACTCGGACCGCCAGTCCGGGTCGGATCAACTCGGATCGACTCGGACCAACTCGGATCGAATAAAAAAATAAAAACGAAATAAAATTGGACTCGGATCAACTCGGATCATAAAAAAAGCAACTCGGATTATAAAAAGAAAAATAAAATCGGTCGGTATCACTTAACTTTCACCCGCCATTTTGTTTTTTTCTCACGAACTCGTGGTTGCGTAAATTAATTTTATTTTTATTTTTGTTAATTTTAATGATACACTAGTGAGCAGCACACATACACTTCCAGTGAACATTTTCAACTTGGAAGGAGGAGAAATCATGCTCGCCCGGGACAACGAAAATTTTCGTACCCTAGGCGAGAATTGAACTCACGACCCCCCGAATACTACATGTTTATCGTACGTTCCAACCACTGAACCGGAGGGTCGCGAGTTCGATTCTTGCCTTGGGCATGGAAACTTCCCTTGTCCTAGGCGAGCATGGTTTCTCCTCCTTCCAAGTTGAAATTGTTCACTGGAAATGTATTTGTGCTGCTCACTAGTGTATCATTAAAATTAAGTTTTAGAAGTCCTGCAGAAAAAAAAACAAACAAACAAACAAACACTCTTCGGTAACTATCTAAATGCGATCGACAGCCCAGGCTTTTGATGATTTTCTCATAAATAATTCAGTAATTCAGTAGTCCAATAAATAAGAAAATATATACATTCTAGGCGACTGAAACTATCATTTCACTGTCCAACCACAACCACGAGCTCAGAACATGATCCGAGAGGAACTGACACTAGTACAACAAAATGGCGCCTGAAAGGCACGGAGAAAAAAAGGATGATCTGGCCTTTTTTACCCTCCAAATGGGTTAAACTTTCAGTTTTGCTGGTTTAATTTATTTTTTTTGATTGCTCCGAGTTGATCCGAGTCCAATTTTATTTTATTTTTATTTTTTTATTCGATCCGAGTTGGTCCGAGTCGGTCCGAGTTAATCCGGTCCGACTTTTGTACCTGCCTATTCATTTGCCCATTGTTTTTCTGAATCCTCTTTTGAATACGTTTCTTGCAGGAATATTATGTCAGCTTTTTTTACAGCACCAAGTGAAAATAGTTATAAAAAATTCTTATGCCGCGTACGTTCAAAGAAATCTAATTTAAATAAATCTTCCACTTAAGTTGTGTTTTTTTTAAATACATATATTGTTTGGGATTAGTACTTTCCGATGTTTAACAAGGCATTGAAAGAGAGTGGAACAAAAGACATTTTCTCCTCCAACTGAGAAAATGGTAGAAACAAAACAGAACACATAGAACATTTACATATAAGCTTACATTAAACAAACTTCTTAACGTCTAGTGGACGTGGATTCACTGTTCAGTTTGAAACCGATCATGGAATCATTAATAATTTTTTGCCATATTATAATAATAGGGAAGGTCTTTATTTTCTTTTCCTCTGTACATATTGCCATTGATAATCAATTTATCAAAATTAAAGAAGGCTTTTTGCTTATCCTGCTTGGCCTTTTTAAGCACTGAATAAAGTTTTCCATGAATTTCTTCAATTTCTTTCGGGAAATAATATGAGAAACCAATGTTTGTTTCTTTTAAGTTCTTACAGAAGGAGCGAACATAATCTTTGTCCTGATAAGGACTGAAACGAGCCATAATTAGTTTAGGATAGGGCGGAGCTTTTAGACTAGAATTATGAGTGGAGATTTGGTGAACTTGCTCAAAGCAGATACCGTTGACTTTATCCGCTGGAATTTTCAAGTTAGCGTCAAAGACACTTCTTACCAGTTCTTCAGTATTTTCATCGTCTTCTTCCTCGGCATTGAAAATTCTTACGTTCTCACGTCTTTTATAGGCTTCCAACTTTATGTTTTTGCGTCTTAGCGCTCCAATGTCCTCGAACAAGAAGGCAATGTCATCACTGCTTTCTTTTACTTGTGCAGAAGTTTGTTTCTGGCTTTCTTGTAGACTTCGAATTTCTTTCTCGGTAGACTGCAAAGATTGTTTCAAATTCTTTACTTCATCTCTCAGCTTACGTATTTCATCTTTTAGTAGTGCAATTTCACCCACGCTGTTAAGACTTGATCTAGGTTAGTGTTCAATTCCTGGGGGCGTGCTGACATTACTCCACCGATGCCCACATGTTCATCATCTTCATCCGTTTGCGAGCCATTTTCTCTCAGCCTTTTGCTCGGATTCTTGTCCGCTTTGTCCTTCGCCATCTCTGGTTATATCTATTTGTAGGTTTCCACGACAGGTACGTTATTAAAACGTTTAGAACAGCATATTTAGTGGAGCTCACAAGATCACGCCTACCTCTACGAGGTGCATAGCGCACGTCCCGTGACTTTTTTGTCTGGTTTGGCGTTCTTTGTTTCAGTTTATCAAAACAGGCCCTCTTCATGGTCTTGGCGTCAGTGCAGGTTTCAGATTTCAATCTCTCCCATGACCATCACCTTTACGCCTGCAATTGCGATGCATGGGGAAACAGGAGCACAGCTACAATCTTGGACAAAACTGTTGAGAAAATTGCATACTCGGGAAGCATTTTTCTAAATATCGTAGCTGTACTGATTCTTCCCTCTCCCCCTTCCCCTGAAAGCAATGTTGTTGTGTATTGAAAAGAAAGCTTGATCCCTGGGCTTTTATAGGAAGCAACATTGAACTGAGGGAAGAGGTTTTCTTTCCGCAAAGGCATCATTCTGGAAATAGTTTTGTTGCGTAGAAAAGTCGACATGATGGGGAAAACTTTCTCAAGTAGTTTTGTCCGGGATTGTAGTCTATCGTTTCTTTCTTTCTTTCCTTGTTTTTTATTTATTTATTTTTCATTGCGATTCTCTTTCTCTCTAGTCACAGTGCAAACCGGTTAGACGTTTTCTTAGCTACTAGTGAAGATGCCACTTAGATCTAAAACACTTAGCTTTTTTAGCGTGATGCTAGAGCTTTTAAGCGCTTAAACGCTCAATTTGTTTTTTTTTTCAATATTGGTCTTTTCATTGTCAATTCATTATGCATCTCAGATCTCCAGCCATCACTTCAAGAGAGTTTTCATGCTGACGGTTCCAAAGGTAACCAATTCTCAGCCTTTAGTTCAGTGACCTCTCCCCCTCACCCCCTACCCCAGCTCGCGGTTTCTAGAGCTTCTCTAATATTAATTTTTTTGTTTGTTTTCCCCTTTGAGTTTATAATTTATTTCTCACAGACGCGGCCCAAGTTCAGGGAGAATCGTCAGAATGCAGCTTTTCCTGCTAACGGGGTAAGTTCCATTTCTGTCCCGGCTGACCTCAAAATTGAGGTCAGCTTTTCATTCAAGTATCTAAGCCTGTCAGTTCAGCGCTTATTCATTTTATAGCAAATTTAGGATCTTATTCTCGAAATGAGATCTCCCCATTCAAGGCTCTTCCCTACCCAGGGTGGTGCGGGGATTCAATGATTGTTTGATTTTTTGGATTTTTTACTTTGATTGTGCTTGGTTTGGCTGGTTTATTTATTATCTTTCTGTCTTTCCTACGAAAGCGTACGTTCCCCGACTTATGCCACCAGATGGATGAAAAATTTATTCTCTGCCGTGAAGCATATGTGATGGATGGCTACCTTTTGCGATGAAGCGATTAGTCGTTTTTCTGTTTGCTTATCTGTGATTTGCGGTTTTCTTGCGTTAAGGAAAGGCAAGCAGGCCTCGCTGCTACGAAATCATCTTACAACAAATATAGTGCCGTAGGTTGGAATTTTTTTCTTTTGAAGTTAAACGAAGTACGTGTCAGTATCTGAGCTTGGAAACTTGATTGCAGTGAGATCAATTTGTCGGCTAGCCCCGCTCAATGCCTACACCTCACTATTACGGACACCCGTTGATGCGCACATAACGGGATTTTTCAAAAAATTATCCTAGAAGAGGCATCCGGCTAATACGGCTACTCTTTCTCTACTGTGCGCTAAGAGGCTTAGTACTTTCATGTCTATAAATGGATGAAGTCATTCACAGCTTGGTGACCAACAAGTCAACCCGACACGCTTGTAATTACACGATTAACCACTTAGGTTCTTGGTTGCTCCTCCATTCAGATAAGGCGATCCCAGAGCTATGAAAGAATCCTTAAGGGCAGTGCTAGTCCGTCATTTCTCAACAACCACCACATGATGAGTACAATATTCGCGGACTGCATTGAAAGAGTGTGAAATCAAATTACATGCATTCTTTGATTAAATGCGTAGTAAGAGTAGGTCATCCGCTGAGATTCCTGGTCTTCTTCCGTTTCAGGAAAAACAAACTAGTATAAAGGAGCAAGCTCCTAGCAGCCTCGCCGCTAAAAATTGATCTTACAATGACCATGTGTGGTGAGTTAGGAGTTTTCTTCCTAATTTCAGTTCTTTTAAAGTTAAACAAAGTACTGCCGGTGGACGGCCGGGCCTAGAGTGTTTCATTTGAGTTTACAGGGGTAAACTTTAAAAAACCGTCTGTCTCAACAATTCTCAAAATGCGTGAATGTCCAACCCGTTTTAAATTTCTTCACGTGCTGTCTTTATGTTTAGAGGTGATTATTTGTGCATTTTTTGCACAGTGTTGAAATTGGGTGTAGTTTTTGTGCAAAAATTCGCCATAGTGACTTTCAGAGTCATAAAAATGGCCTCATTAGCTCTTGACGCAGTTCCTCTGAGTAATTCAGCCACGAGCGAATAAGCGCACCACAAATTATGTGTCCATAGGTCTTCTGCTGACACAAACGTCTCCCAGGCAATTAAGCGATTGAAACACGCATAATGCCCTGTTACGTGATCAGTCGTTCAGGCGCCTGCTCTGGAGCGCTCAATTGCGTCAGGATTATATTCGCGGACCGCATTGAAAGAGTGTGAAATCAAATGACAAGTTTCTTTGATAAATTGCCTAGTGAGAGTAGGTCATCCGCTGAGATTCGTTTTTTTTTTTCGTTTCAGGAAAAGCAAGCTAGTATAAAGGAGTAACCCTCTAGCAACCTCGCGGGTAGGAACCACTTTACAACGACAATGTATTGAGTTCGGATTTTTCTTTCAGTTCTTTCATATCTTAACAACCAAATGCCGGTTGACAGCCTAGCTTGGGGCGTTACGTTTGAGTTACGAGAGGTCAACTTTAAAAAACCGTCTGTCTCAACAATTCTCAAAATGCGTGAATGTGCAAGCCGTTTTAAATTTCTTCACTTATTCTCCTTATGTTTGGAGGTGGTTATTTGTCCATCTCTCGCACAGTGCTAAAAATTGGTGTAGTATATGGGCAAAATTTGCAATAAAGTGACCTCTCAACTCATAACAAAGACATAGCCTTAACGACGTTTGACGCAGATCGTCTAACCAATTCAGCTCCGAGCGAATGAGCGCTTCACAAATTATGTGACCATTAGTCTTCTGCTGACACAAACGTCTCCCAGGCAATTAAGCGATTGAAACACGCATAATGCCCTGTTACGTGATCAGTCGTTCAGGCGCCTGCTCTGGAGCGCTCAATTGCGTCAGGATTATATTCGCGGACCGCATTGAAAGAGTGTGAAATCAAATGACAAGTTTCTTTGATAAATTGCCTAGTGAGAGTAGGTCATCCGCTGAGATTCGTTTTTTTTTTTCGTTTCAGGAAAAGCAAGCTAGTATAAAGGAGTAACCCTCTAGCAACCTCGCGGGTAGGAACCACTTTACAACGACAATGTATTGAGTTCGGATTTTTCTTTCAGTTCTTTCATATCTTAACAACCAAATGCCGGTTGACAGCCTAGCTTGGGGCGTTACGTTTGAGTTACGAGAGGTCAACTTTAAAAAACCGTCTGTCTCAACAATTCTCAAAATGCGTGAATGTGCAAGCCGTTTTAAATTTCTTCACTTATTCTCCTTATGTTTGGAGGTGGTTATTTGTCCATCTCTCGCACAGTGCTAAAAATTGGTGTAGTATATGGGCAAAATTTGCAATAAAGTGACCTCTCAACTCATAACAAAGACATAGCCTTAACGACGTTTGACGCAGATCGTCTAACCAATTCAGCTCCGAGCGAATGAGCGCTTCACAAATTATGTGACCATTAGTCTTCTGCTGACACAAACGTCTCCCAGGCAATTAAGCGACTGAGACATTCATAATGACCTGTTAAGTGACCAGTCGTTCAGGCGCCGCCTGCTCCTGAAACGCTCAATCGCGTCACGATTAAGTCCTCACTTAACCCGATTATGACCCAGAAGATGGCTAATTTGCAAAATGCTGTCAGACACCTCCGAATCATTGTTTTCAGCCAGTCTTACGGTGCTTATCATCAGAGAGACATTGTGGACGTTTTACCCTGAAATTCTCACTGAACGCCATTACGACCCAAAGATGAACAATTTTCAAAGTACTGTCACACGCCTATGGATCATTGTTTTCGGCTAGTCTCATGGTGCTTATTATCACAGCGACAACTTGGAGCTGTCACGGTGAAATTCTCACTTCACGCAATTATGACCCGAAAGATGGCCAATTTTCAAAATGGTGTCAGTCGAAGCAAATAATCATTTTCAGCTGGTCTTATATGCTTATCCTCAAGCCGAAATTTTCAAGCACTTACAGTGAAATTCTCACATAACCCCATTACGACGAAAAGATAGCCAATTTGCAAAGTGCTGTTACACGCCTCTGAATCATTGTTTTCAGCTAATTTTTTGGTGCTTATCATCATAGCGACATTTTGGAGCTGTTATTGTGAAATTCTCTCTTAAAGCTATTACGACCCAAAAATGGTCATTTGCAAAATACTGTCACACGCCCATGAAAAATCGTTCTCAAGTAATCTTATGGTGCTTAACATCAGAGCGACTTTTTGGAGCTATAACGGTGAAATTCTTACTTAACGCCATTTCTACCCAAAACATGGCCAATTTGCAAAATGTTGTCACACGCCTATAAATCATTGTTTTCAGCTGGTCTTATGGTGCTTATCACCAAGGCGACAATCTGGAGCTGACACTTTGAGATTTTCACTTAACGTAATAACGACCCAAAAGATGGCAGAGCGGCTTTCTGGAGATCATACGGTGAAATCCTCACTTCACCTTATATTACGACCCAAAAAAAGGCCAGTTTGCAAAATATTGCCAAAAAAAGGCAAAAATCCGAAATGGTGTCAGACGCCTCCAAATGATAGTTTTCAGCGAGTCTTACGGTGATTATCAGCACAACATTTTAGAGCCTTTACAGTGAAATTCTCACTTAATCCCATTATGACCA